AAAGAGTGTACTGAAGTGGAGCAAAGGGAATTCCTGGTAATTAAAAAAATATGACCAAAATAAAATATTCAGTGGAAGAGATGAGTAATTGATGGCTAGATTAGAAAACTGGAAGATAAAACAGAAGAAATCTCTCCAAATTTGAATTAAAAAGTCAAAATGGAAGTACTGAAGAAATTGTAAAGAAGCACAGATTAGTTTTAGGAGATTAAATATCTGTCTGATAGTAGACTGAAATACAGCAGAGAGAAGGGAGAGGAAGAACTAATGCAAGCAGTAATAAAATGAAAATTTCCTGGACCTGAACTTGATGTAAGTCTTCAATTGAAGAAGCTATAAAATGTTGATGAAAATAATCATTTTATCTGAGAAAATGCTGATATTTGTGATCTCTAATGGTAAAGAGAATTCTAATAGCCTCAGGGGGTTAGGAGTACAGGAGTCAACTAAAGAACTCCAATGAGATAGATTGCTGTCTTCTGTCCAGTAGTGCTTTTAGCATTCTTCCAGAGATTTAAAGAGATTTGTATTCATCCATAACACTATTCAATGCTTGTAATCACAATCACTTATGCATGTCACTCTCTGAAGGAAAAAGAAATTGTTCTGGTATAAATGGAGGTGGGGGGGCCTTCAAAATGTTCATGGAAAGTAATTTTTATTTTTAAATTTAAAGAATTATTTTATTTAACTTTATTTATTTGTTTATTTATTTAGATCAGAGAGGGACAGAGAGAGAGAGAGAGAGAGAGAGAGAGAGAGAGAGAGAGAGAGAGAGAGAGAGAGAGAGAGAGAGAGAGAGAGAGAGAGAGAGAGAGAGAAAGCAAGCTGCAAGGTCTGGGAATCAAACTATGGTCAGCTATGTGTGAGTCCAATGCCCTTAACCACCACGCCATCAGCTGGTTCCTGGAAAAGTTTTATGAAAAACTATGCATGAAGTTTCCAAATTTTGGGGACCACCATAAATTTAAAACTTTCTTGTTTTTATTTTTTTTTAATTGCCAGATGGTGTGCGGTATACTCGCTAGAAACAGAGAAACAGAAGAGAGAGAGAGAGTGTTAGATGAAAAGAAAGAAGGAGAAAGCACCCTTTAAGGGGACATGATCATGCCACCATCTCTTCCCCATTTCTCCGCTTTGTTGAGATTTGGGGCATGTATGCATATATGCCCAGCATGGTGCTCAAGCTTCTGGGGTCAGGATTTGAACCATTGTTGGCCATGTGAGATCCAGCTCCCTTAACCACTAGGCTATAGAGCTGACCCTAAAGTCATAGTTTAAATCTCATTTTCCATGAACTTTTAAAAAAATACCCTTTATATTCTTACAAAATAAAAAGTAAACCCAACTGAGAAAGTACATATGTAATGTAATAAAGTGGTGACAGAGAAACCACCAAGAACACTTCAAGTAAACCCAAGTTATTGCTGATGGTTAGGCTGAAACTTTCAGTACTATAACTGAGAATGAAATGTTACAAATAAACAAATGGATGGTGTAAAAATATTGAAACTAAACTTCCACATGATTTTAATGATCTATAGCTAGTGTGGAGAGAGAAATAGGGAATAAAATTGCAAAATTTCTTGCCTGGTTTGTAATGATTGCCTAACTATTGGTTAATTTCCAACATTAATTGAAAGAGATATACTTACTGACAGATTAAGGTGAACCATTAGAAGAGAAGTAGGACTTATAGTTTCAAAACTCACTGAAAGAAAATAAAAAGCCATAAAGGTAAAAAATCAATTCAGCAAAAAAGAAAATATTTTGTTTAGATATTAAAAGAAGATTAATGTTTATAGTCACAAAAATATAAGAAATTCCTTTAGTGGCAACAACACTGCTTGAATCTATCATTCCCATTTTTTTTTAGGAATTGTTGGCATTTTTTACTGTCTTCCAGCCTCATGGTTTAGTGGTTAAGGAAGCTGGATACTGCAGAGTAAACTGTGTGGTTCAAATCCAGAACTTAGTGGCCTGAAAAACATGCTCTGTGTGTGTGTGGGTGTGTGTTTGCGTGGGCATGTCCAAAATCCCAACAGGATGGAGAAGTGGAGAAGGATTTCAGTGTGGCCACGTCCCACGTAGAATGCTTTCTCCCTCTCCCTCCATGTCTCTATTTCTTTCTTTAGTGAGTACATGCACCTTCTGGCAAATTAAAAGTGGTAGGGTAAAAGCTGAGATAGAATTAACATGAAAGAATGATACATCGTTTTCATACATACATATGAAAACATAGACACATGTAAGAGAGAATAGAAGAAATAATCAAGGGAACAGAAATTGGAAAGAATCATTTCAAATACATAAATATAAATGTATTAAATTTCCTACTTAAAATACAGGGACTATCAAATAAGTTTCTAAAATATTCAAAAAAGCTAAAGACAGGAAAAACTGCTTATAAGAAATGCATAATAAAAGACCTAGAAAGGATGAAAGACATACCAAGTAAAATCTACCAAAAATAAAATAAAAGTGCCAATATTAACAAGTGGAATATTATTTATTACTAAAAGCAACTCATTAAGGTGCTAATAACCTTTGTGCTCCTAACAGGATTAATATTTCTAAAGCATACTCTCTGTACACCAAAAATTATTAACTAATCCACAGAGTGGAGAAAAAACCTTTAGAAATGGTTGGTTCAAGCAGAAAAATAATCTAGAGGTAAATTGATAAATATGATTAACAAACTTGGTTTTTGAAGACTTTATTCTCAAAAAAAAAGCAAAATTTTTTCTAATTCCAAGAAATCATGAAATAATTTTGATCCTGTATGGGTTGTAAATAATACTCATACATACTTAGAGAAGATAATTTTTTACCATTTTATTTGGTTTTATTAAATTCTATTTTTAATTTTAAATTTATTTACATTTGTTTTACCCCCTTGATTCCTTACCTCTCACTCTCTGCCATTTCCCACCTTCTTCCCATACTGTCTCTGGTATCTACAATTGCTTTCCATGCCATTTTTTTTTTCACATTTTATTGATGAACAAAATATCTTAATCTAAATACTTTCAATAGGAACTGCAGCTGATATATACGTATCTGTGAACATATGTTTAATTTTAGGCATAAAACTCAGCCATAAAACTCAGTGAGTAGAATGAACATACTATAAAGTTGCACCTAGCTGGGGCTATGTAGCTTACTGCAGTCATTAAATAAGTATCTTTTTATGAAATTTTTAATTTAAAAAAAAGCAGTTTTAACTTTATAGATCAAAATCAGAATATGTTAAGAGATATTTCCTGAAGACTTAAAGTTAGGGAAAAGGTTAGGATTCAGTTAAAACAGTAGGTAGATGAACGTATCAACAGTTCAAAAGACAAAAATCCTTAAATCTGGAAAGAAAGCATAGAATAAAATCAGTAATGTTTTAGTCAAAAGTCATAAAATTCTTTTTCACCAGTTTAGTCTCTTGTAATAAATTTCTTGTTGAATTTGCAGTGTTACTGTCATACAATCTTTCTGTTTAAATACTGGAAGTTAAATTCAACATTATTGATCTGTTTGGACCTGTCCCTACCATTAAATTGGCCATTCTCTTCATTGTTTTTTGTAGTCTTTGTGTCTGACTTTAGTTTTCCTGGTATAGCACTCCCTTCAGAACTTCTTAGAGAGCTGGTCTGGTATTGGTAAATTCTTTCAGGTTTTGTTTATCTGGGAATACTTATGTCTTCCCATATGAAGGATAATCTTGCCAGGCTGAAATTGTCTTTCACTTAACACTTTGAATATATGTCCCTATTCTGTCCTCGTGTGCATTGTTTTTAATGAGAAGGCCAATGTTAGCCTAATGGGATATCCTTTGAAAGTAACTTGGTGTTTCTCTCTTGCCAATTTTAGTATCTTGTCTCTGTCAGTGGTTTTGATCAATCTGGCTATGTAATGCCTTTGAAAAGATCTTGGGTTGATTCTATGTGGGGTCCTTTGTATTTCGTGGGTCTGAATATTTGAATGGCTCTCTAGGTTTGGAAAGTTTTCTTTCAGGATTTCATGGAATAGAGTATCAATGCCCTTACTAGTTTCTTCACCTTCTGAGATACCGATTATCCAAATGTTTGGGTGATTAATGGTATCTAGTATTATTTGTATATTATTCTCATTTTTTGGGTCCTTTTTTTTTTTTTGGTGAATTTTTCTAGTCCAGAGATTCTGTCTTCTACATCTGATATTTGATCTTCTGCATGATCTAATCTGCTTTTAATACTTTCAAGGGAGGTTTTGATTTCCTGTATTATAGACATCATCTCTAACAGTTCTATTTAATTCTTTTTTGTGGTGTGTATTTTTTTTTTTCAGATTGTGTGAGAATTTCCTCACCTCCTAGAAGTTGCTGTCTCTTTTCCCCTGCATCATCTGGAGTTTATTGTCTCTCTTCTCTTGCATTCTGATGAGCTATGTCACTATGAATATTCTAAGTTCTTTATCTGACATTCCATTGAGTTATATTTCACTATCTGTGGATGATGAGGAGTTATTCTTTTCCCTTAGGTGAGAGATATTTTTCTTGGTTTCCTCATACTTCTTGTGTCTCTGCAGTAGTTTCTGGTAATCTGATGGATTACATGTTTTTTTTTTTTCTAATTTCTGGAGGTAAATCTGAGCATTCAGAAGTGTGCAGGAGAAGGTGATCTGCGATCTCTCTGCAGTTTCATTTTTCTCCCTTTGTGCAGCAGATTCAGTGGGAATTGAGGATTACTCAGACTCTGGCTAGATTGTAGGGTCAGCAGGGTGAGCAAAAAATCTTCAGTTGTCTGAGTCCCTGGAAGGGGCCACTCAGAGCTCAAAAGTAGATGGCTTGTAATTGGCCTGTTCTGTTTAGATCTTGGGGTCAGGAGGGTGAAACTCATGAAGATAAATTAATAATACACACAATATTATTTAAACTCAGTAAAATATAAATAGATACATTAAGAACAAATAGTAACAAAGATATACCCAACCAGGGAATAAAACATAAGAAAAACATGAGATTAAAATAAAGACAAAAAAGGAGCTTTTAACATTTTTTGGAGAGGTTTTTGCTATATGGTGCGTGAGCTCGCCAGAAAGAGAGAGACAAAGAGATAGAAAGCGAGACATCACTCCCCGGGGGAATGGCCATGCTGCAATCCCTTCTCCTCCATTCTCCTCTCGAGATCTTGGGCACGCACGCTCACACGTGCCCAACACGAGTTTAATCCATAGGGTCCATGACTCGAACCACCGTCGACTGCATGGGAGTCCGCAACATAGCCATTACACCAGCTGCTGGTCCCCAAGAGCTTTTAACATTTTTGGCAGATGCTATGTTTACATAGAAGCTCTCAGGACAACTATGAAAAAGAGAGATTAGAATATGATTAAGAATTAGATACCAATTGTTCTATCTAGTAACAATAGCAAATTATAAAAGTATGAAATAATTCAATTTATGATAAAAAACTATAACATTTCTAGAAATAAATACTCAGAATTATTTAAGTTCTCTTTGTGAAAACTGTGATTAATTGGTGACAAATTAAAAATAAGGAAGTATATAAAATACAATGCTCACGGAAAAGTCAACTTATTATACTAAACCTATCTATTAATCTGAGGTTCCCTAGAAAATAAACCTAACCAAAATCAAAATCTTGGAAAAGTGTTGTGGAAATCTAAATTGAGTAAATTGTTGAACCTCTCCAGCCTCAGTTTCTTTACTTGGATTTCTGTGAGGATTAAACAAGATTACATGTGTAACATGCTGGAGCAATACTGAGTAGATGTTAGGTGCTGTGTACATGTGTATTGTCCTTTCCTTTCTTTTCTTTGTAACTATACATGGTTTTAGTTGAAAACGTATTGGTTTTGTAAGTTAAAATAAGTGAAGAGGAGGACTCCATGCAAGAAGAGAGAGGGAAGAATGGTATTAGCTTTAATTATTCATGTAGCGTGTGCAATGACTCACTGGGTTCAATCCATATGCATTATTTCATGGTCTTGGATTAAGTTAGCAGATATCAGAGTGGGGGGGTTGCCTAGCAGGGAGTACTCATGCCCTTACCTTACAACGTCTTTCAGGATATTCTTTAAAGTCAGCCAATCCTGATTTCATTAATAAAAAGATAAGAGAGAAGAAAGGAGGAGAGGGAAGGGGAGGAGAAGAAAGAAGAGAAGAGAGGAGAAGGCACTTTCTTTAAAATGTGACTTTATGATTTGTAATATAATACAGTGAGGATTTTTCTTTTTTTAAAAAATATTAATTTATTCATTCATTCATTCATTTTAATTTGACCAGAGAGAGACACACAGAGAGAGAAAAGAAAAGTGAGAAAGCAAGCCACCAGGTCTGGGACTCAAACTGTGGTCAGCCATGTGGGAGTGTCCAGCACCTTAACCACCATGCCACATGCTGGTCCCCTGAGTGAGGACTTCCTTTCCTTTCTTTTCTTTGTAACTATACATGGTTTTAGTTGAAAACGTATTGGTTTTGTAAGTTAAAATAAGTGAAGAGGAGGACTCCATGCAAGAAGAGAGAGGGAAGAATGGTATTAGCTTTAATTATTCATGTAGCGTGTGCAATGACTCACTGGGTTCAATCCATATGCATTATTTCATGGTCTTGGATTAAGTTAGCAGATATCAGAGTGGGGGGGTTGCCTAGCAGGGAGTACTCATGCCCTTACCTTACAACGTCTTTCAGGATATTCTTTAAAGTCAGCCAATCCTGATTTCATTAATAAAAAGATAAGAGAGAAGAAAGGAGGAGAGGGAAGGGGAGGAGAAGAAAGAAGAGAAGAGAGGAGAAGGCACTTTCTTTAAAATGTGACTTTATGATTTGTAATATAATACAGTGAGGATTTTTCTTTTTTTAAAAAATATTAATTTATTCATTCATTCATTCATTTTAATTTGACCAGAGAGAGACACACAGAGAGAGAAAAGAAAAGTGAGAAAGCAAGCCACCAGGTCTGGGACTCAAACTGTGGTCAGCCATGTGGGAGTGTCCAGCACCTTAACCACCATGCCACATGCTGGTCCCCTGAGTGAGGACTTTTTTTTTTTTTATCATTTCTTTGTTGCCTTAAAAGAACTGCTCTTTTTTAAATATAGAACATCAACAGTAATTTGAAAAAATGTCATAGTGTCTATTTTTAAATTGTATTCAGCTTTAGTTGAATAAAGCTGCAAAGCCATCTGTCACTTCACCATCTAACCTACAACATCTGTGAATCTTGTAGGTGCATAGTCAATATTTTTTTACAGACTAATATTTTGTTCGCAGTATTTAGAGAGTGAATGCAGTTTTATATCTTAGTATATTACAAGCATGTAAGTTCACATTCCTATACAATTTGGTTCAGCTGTACCATTGCAATGTCGCGTTCTGTGTTATAGCAACTGGATGGGGTTATGAAGCTCCACCAGTTTTCATCTCAGTAGGTCCTCCCTGCCCGCACCCTGTAAAGGAAGGACTGCAAATTCTGCTGAAATGTGTCCAGCGTCTGAGGAGTCGTCACTCTGTGCTGCTGGGCGCTTTTGTTTTTCCTTCTATCTCACTCAGTTAAATAAGAAATCAGGTCCAGAGCTGAGTGGAAGGCATTCATCACTCAGTATGCAGCCACTGCTTTGTCAGGCCTTGGAAGTGACCTCCCTTGGTGAGGGACAGTGGGGCACTGTACAGTGCTCAGAGAGAGGCAGCCCCTTCAGGGGCCCCCACTGTCGGACCCTCCTGGGGTGATCTTTGCCAAGTCCCTTGTGCTCTCTTGTTGAGCCTGAACAAGGGCCGTGGTGCAGCTGCTAATGATGTCGTGTCAAAACTGAAGCGAGGACACCATAGTGATGGGAGGTGGCTGCCAGGGAACCCGCAGGGTGAAAACCCTCTATGAAAGGACAGGAAAGTGACACTAACAAGTTACTGCCCAAATACCCATTAGGTAGAAAACAGAGTGTGTCATGGATCAATATAAAAAGAGAGAAAAAAATGCAAATTAGTTATCCTTGAGTGACTGAACAAATTATATTAAACCAACAAATAATTACTATTCCCCCATTATTTCCAGCCAAGGGCCAGAGAGAGGGCTCCGAGGAGAGGGTGAGGCAGCAAGCTGAGTGCAAAGCTGCATCCAAGTCCCAGCTCTCAGGTTTGGATACAAAATCGCACTATCAGTGAAATAGTGACTATTGTTTCCTTTAAATTTAATGACTACTACTGGAGGTCGCCAGCCAATAAAATAAGGCAAGATAAAGAAATCGAATATACATGGGCTGGCCCTATCGCCTAGTGGATCTCACATGGTCAACCACTGTTTAAATCCCAGCCCCAGTGGCTGCAAAGACAAGCTGGGCATGTGTTCCCTAAATCCTGACAGGACAGAGAAATGGAGAAGAAAAGATCGCAGTGCGACCATGCCCTTTGGAAGGTGTTTTCTTCCTCTCCCTTTCACTGTCTCTCTCTGGGAGTGCACGTATTCTCTGGTAATTACAATAGATAAATAAAATACAAAAACATTGGGGAGGGAAGCAGTAAAATTGTCATTATTCATAGACAACATGATTATATTTATAGAATGTCTAAACAGTCTATGGATAAATTATTAGAATGAGCCAAATTAATAAAATTGCTGGATAGGGACCAGCAGTTAGAGTAATGGCTATGTCGCTGAACTCCCATGTAGTTGACAGTGGTTCGAGTCCTGGACCCGGTGGCTTAAACTCACATCAGGCACATGTGTGCGTGCGTGCCCAAGATCCCGAGAGGAGAATGGAGAAGGGACTGCAGCGTGGCCATCCCCCTGGGGGGTGATTTCTCGCTTTCTATCTCTGTCTCTCTCTGTCATTCTGGCGAGCGCATACGCCCTATAGCAAAAACCTCTCACAAAATAAATAAAAATAAATAAAATAAAAATAAAATTGCTGGATAGAATTGACTATATAAAATACAATTTAATGTCTATATATCTTCCAGAGTTAGAAAATGAAATTAAAAAGTGATACAATTCATAACCATCATAAAAGATCAAATACTTAGGAATAAATATAATATAAAATGCACATATCTTCTAGATGAGAAACTCAAAAGCAGCATTTAGAGAAGTTAAAGACACAAATAAGTAAAGTTACATACCTTATTCTTGGGTTAGAATATTATATGTTATTAAGATGCCATTTTTTTGTGAATTGATGAAATGGATAGACTCCTTAGTTAAAAATAACAGCAATTGTGCATATGCATATATGTAAACTGACTGGCTTCTTCTAAAACTGATTAAAATTTTCAGTTCTAGATAAACTAGAAGAAAAATTATAAAATTGAAGAACTTACATTTTAGATATAAAGACAAATGTTAAACTGTGATAATTAAAAATTGGTGGAGGGATGGATAAGCAGACTAACTGGAAAGATGACAAAGTAGAGAAATGAACCCACATATATACAATCATTCAATTGATAGTAGTGGAGAGAGGACAATGAATAAATAGTGCTGGGTTAACTGACATAAGGAAAAGGTCTTAGTCCTTAGGTCACATACTACAAAAAAATAAAGCCACTTTTCAATTATAAATCTAAACAGGAAAAGTAAATAAAAGTTTCTAAGATGGTGACATGAGAATGCAGGTTGTATGTCCTAGGAGTATGGAAAGTTTTATCAGTGTTAAAACTGTTACCATTAAGAAAAAATGGTGGTGGTAAGACTATATGAAGACTAAGGCATGGAATATGAGAGTGAGTTATAAACCACTGAGCCAGAGAAGATATTTACTTTAAAAAGCTCATGGAAAAAATTAGAGTATGAGTTTTGGCACAAAAAATTTTGAAATCCATACATAGTTTTTTTTAATAATATCTTTTCCATTTATTTTTAAAGGCTTCCTTCTGTAACTGATAAGTGACTTGGATCAAAAAAATTTTACACTCCTAAAAATGAGCAAGGGGGCCAGCAGGTGGCATGGTAGTTAGGAGTGCTGGACTCTCACATGGCCATCTGCAGTTTGAATCCCAGGCTTGGTGGCTTATTTTCTCACTTTCCCTTTCTCTCTCTCTCTCTCTCTGTTCAAATTAAAAATAAATAAATAAATAGTTAAATATAATTATTTTAAAAAGGAGTAAGAAAATGGCAAGCAACTCAATTGAAAAAGGGCAAGTCTTTAACAGAAATTTACCAAAAGGATATCCAAATGATCAATGCACACATGAAAAAGTGCTCACACTCATTAGCCATCAGGGAATACAAACTAAAACCGCAATGAGATTGTGTTACACACAATCTATTTTTTAGTTTATTAAATAGACTAAAAAGACACTTGTAGAAAAGGCTACTGAGTTCCCGTATGCTGCTGGTGGGGGCATAAGCTGTTACAGTTACTTTGGAAACTGCTTCCTACTATCTATTAATGATGACTTTATGCATATCCTAAACTCCTGTAATTCTACTTCTAGGTTTAAACACAACACACATGCATACGTATGTCAAAGATGTATACAAGGATATTTACAACAACATCATCTTTAATAGCCAAACACTGAAAACAAATCAACATTCTAATGAATAAATGAGTTATAGTCCATTTATACAGTGGAATGCTATTCAGTAATTAGGATGAGCCAACTATGGCTGCACAATATAATACTGTACATCTTGAAAATGTGATGAGAGAAAGAAGCCAGACTATGATGCCATTGTATAAAAGTCAAATAAAGATAAATGCAGTCTACGACGTTAGAAGTCAGGTTGGTAGAAAATGAGCATAAGAAAACTGACAGCAAAGGAGGTTAAAAAAAAAGGGCATTTTGTACGGGCATGTTCTTGGTTTGCACTCTGACCTCATGACGGGTTCCTTTGTGATACTCATCAAGCTATGCACTACATAATGAATGTTTCTGAATATATGTTCTTCTTCAGTAAAAGTGTTCCTTGGACAGGAAAGAACATAAGGACTTGACTGGTTTCAATCCACATATTCAGGGGTAGAAACAGTTTCAAAGCTCAGACAGAGCCCGTTACTAAGAAGTCTTTATATTAAATGAATAAGTATAAAATTGGCAGCGATGTTAAGATGATGATCAAGGATTTGCTCAGTGCCTTAAATTGATTCAGCTGGTTCCTGACTTGGCCTTCCTTTCTTACACGTTTACATATACTATCTGGGTAATCTCACCTGCCTAGTGTGAACCCCTGCCTGTATGTTTAAGGATCAACAGACAGTACATAGCAAACAGTTATAACAATTCCTTCCATCCCATGTAGTTGAGGATGACGTTTTTGCTTTTGTGGGAAATAATTTGTTGTATTTCATATAATAATGCATGACATATATTTTTGGGTGATTCATGGCCTCTGGAATGTAATTTAGTTACAATTAGTTAGCTTTTTTTTTTTTTTCTTTTTTAAGGTTTTTGCCATTGGGTGCATGCTCTCTAGAAAGACAGAGAGAGACAGTGAGAAGGAAAGTGAGAAATCACCCCTCAGGAGGTATGGCCATTGCCACAGTCCCTTCTGTTCCATTCTCCTCCTGGGAGTCTTTGGGCACACATGTGCACACACCCAGGATGATTTTCAAGCCACCATCTCCAGGACTTGAACCATGGTTGGCCATGTGGGAGTCCAGCTCCATAACCACTATGCCACCTGCTGGCCCACTGGTGTGATTTTTAAGCTGCTGGGTCTGGGATTTGAACCATGTTAACTAATGATTAGTTAGTAATGAACTAAATACTACCTTCTCCTGGTAGTTAGCTAGATATGAGGAGAAAGTCCTGAGATAACAGCAGAAGAACATTCGCCTCTTCCATTACAGCTTGTTAGGCCTTGCAACCAGACTCTCTCTAAACACCTGATTCCCTCCAGACTCCCTCCTGGCTCCAGGAAGGGAAAGCTTATCTCACTTTTTATTGCCTACGCTTTCTTCAACAGACCTAGAGAAGGTTACTAAATGCATACACACATAGGAATACTCCGGGATGCTTGAACAATATCTCACTACCCACTCAGAGCAATAAACTGATAGAGGCAAAATCATCCTGGTACACATGCTCATACCCTTGAAGCCCACACTGGACACGAGTATGACTTCCCCCAACCAGGCAGCAAGATTCCCTTACCTGATGAGAAACATGGAAGGCCCGGAAAATCAAACAAAAATGCTGGCCACAGTAATAGACCACCCTTCCTAAATATTCATGACAAGATTCCACAATGAAACTAACTCCTAATCCCATTCCCAGCACAACTGTCCCCTGACAGCTGCCTGCCCAAGCACCTTTCTGGTAAAGGGTGAACTTTTCTGTTAAAATCTTCACTTTTCTACTGAAAAAGTCTCTTCTTTTTATACTTTACTCATGTTGTGGCTTCATTCTGCATCTTGGAGTGAGTCTCCAACTTTAGAGGGCTGGATTGAAAATTTCACAGCATGCACCCAGGTGCTCTATCTGATAACACTTCCTGTATTGATTATAGCTAGCTATTACTATCATCCCTTAAGGATCACCCTTCCAAGCAGTCTGATGCTCAAACTATCTTATTTGCAAGGTTGTTTGTATAGCAAATAGTCAAGCTGGGTAGAGATAGGATCTCTCTTTAGGGCAGAGGATATATTGTTTGATGTCCAAGATGATAAAGATTAATCTCATCTTTGGGGAAAGAGCAGGCAGGTTTGCTTATGCTCTTCTTATAAAAGAGTGAAGTTTCTTGAACTTCTTTACCTCTGACCCAGGAGTCTCTTGTCTTCTGCCAGCATCTATGAAAATGTGCAGGCCACCTTGTTAGTTTGAAAGCAGGGTAAAATTTCAGAGCTTTGTATCATTCTTGAAAAAGATATACTTGGCTTCCTGTCATGTTTCTACCATACAACTCAAAAGTTGAGATTCTGAATCTAACAGTATCCTAGATAGATCCACAAATGTGATAAGCATAATTTGTAAATTGGACAGTGACAAAATGGTTCCCCTTATTCTCCGTTTGGGTCTAGGGTGTGGGCTTAACACTCTTACCTCCCAAGCAGTGAAGGAGCTTCAGCTTCGGTTTAGGATTATTCTCCGTGTCTGTGTTTGTCTACAGGAGAATGGTCAGTTGAAAGGATGTTGTGCTGCCTTCCAAACACTGTCCACGGTAACTCCAAATGAAACGCTCAGCGGGTGGTGAGTAAGTCGTGTTGACGGGTCTCCAAAAAGGGCCAGAAGAAGAACTCAGCACTGAGTTCTCTTCCACACATTTCCAAGACCTGCTGTGCTCAGTTTTAATAATGAAGAACAGTGTCTCCATTTCTTCCTCGCCCAAATCCTCAGTGTCTCTGCCTTATTTTATCTTTCTCCTTAGGCTTTCATGTGATCTCTGACAGGAGAACTGTACTCTGCATGTGTGCACCCGAGTCATAGCCTTCTATTTCTGTTTTTACATAATAGTCACTTCTGGGACATGTGGCAGTGAGTGGCAGAGACAGGAGACCCCGAGGTGCTTTTAAAAAAAATGTAATGTATTTGTTAGGAGAGAGAAGAGACACATTAGTTTTAGACTCGTATCTAGTTACATCTGTATTTTTCAATCCGTATTTTTCTCCCGACACTTGGAACCAGGAACTATATGATACACATCTTCCTGAGTGTCCTACAGGAGTCTAAACTTGCTGTTGGAAATGCAACTAATACTTTTCACACCAAACGTGCTCCTCCCTTTGTGTTCTCTGTCCCAGTGATTGGCATGTAAGCCTATTCAAAATAGACTGTGTCAGCCCCTACTGAAAGAGGGTGATTAGAAATGCTAATGTCAAGTTCTCTTGCAGGGCAAAGGAAAACTAAACGACAAATGTAGCACTTGGCTTTCAGCACTTTGTCTTAATGACTGAAAATAAAAGACACAGTGAATATTTTTCCACTTGAGAAGATTTATTTGGTTTTTATTTATCTCAAGTTGCAAAGAAAATGGTTCTCATTGTACTACTCCTCGGATACTACAGTCAGGATTATAGTGTGAGACTATTTTCACTTTAAAGGGTAAAAGGAAAAGATTTGCTATAGAAAACATGATCTTTTATCACATTGTTACCTCTACTTGCAACTGATGCATTGATCATTAAACGTAGTATGTTCAAGGGAACTTCAAAAAGTTCGTAGGAAAAATGAAATTAAAATGTGAGCTTATTTTGCTGAAAAAAAATTGAAAGTCATGCATAATTTTTTCATCATATGCAGTTTCCATGAACTCTCTGAGATTGCTTATAGTTTCAGATTTCAGGCAAAGGGCAGACTCTCATAGAAATTCCATCCCCAAAATATATTAATTTGTAATTAGCCTTGTGAAAAGAGAACTTTTAGACAATTTAAGTTAGCACAGTTTAAATGAGCAAAAACAATTTGAATCGGACAGCCCCCAAAATGGCTTCTAATAAACTCTACACAGCATTTATGCTCAAGAAAGGGAAAGTGATGTACAAAAAACAGAAGTGAGGGAATTAGGTAGAGAAATAATTGAGTTGGTTACATTTTGATGTTTGCTGCATGGGTACAGTTAAAGGGTGGGCTATGATTGACTGAAATATATTGTAGCTGCTACGTTTGGCCATAACTCAGTAACTTACAAAGGAAGCAAACCTCTAAGTGTGGTTTGCCCACAGGAACTCAATCAAGAGTATGGAGGCCTTCTAAGGCCAATATAGTTCAATGGTGACTCGTTAGTGACTTGTCTGACTCCTCTTGGCTCACAGTTGATCTCCTAGAAGAAATTTTGTCTCTCGTTCACAAGATATAAATCTGATTTCATTTTTTAAAAAAATTCAAATCAGGTATCATAACAGCATTTACTGATGCACCAGACAGAGTTATGTAATCATGGTTCTGTCACTTATTTAAGTCCAGAATTTGGGCAAATGCCTGTATTGTTCTGGATATCACGTTTAATCATTTATAATAATAGAAATGCCTAGATAATGAAGTGAGCAAAGTGAATTTCGTGGACCTGTGACTATGACCTGAATGGTGATGGATAACTTCCAAGGCTAGATCATAAAGGTTGCAGAGCTTCCACCCTGCTCTGTTTTTCAGGACATAGGCTTTGGAAGCCTTTAGGTGACATGTGAAGGTCACCTATCCTGAAGCATGCTAGAGACACCACATGGAGAGGCCACATAAAGACACACAGAGGTCTCCAGGGAGCCCCAGCTACTCCAGCCTCCAGCTGTTGCAGTTGCCCAGCCTTAGCCACTAAGACTGTGAGTGAGTGAGCCTCAGATCATTCTGATTCCCAGCCTTTGAGCAGCCCTAGTTGACATGGAACAAAGGAAAAATAAACAGTCCCTATAAGATCCTGCCAAATTGCAGATTTAAGAACACAATGAACATTGTTACAGGACACTAAATTTGGTGGTGGTTGTTGTTTTCTTTTTCTTTCTTTTTTTTTTTTTTTGAGAAAGATTTTTGCTATAGGGCAAGTGCACTCACTGGAGACAGAGAGACAGAAAGAAAGAAATCATCCCTCTCCCAGGGGTATGGCCATCCTATAATCCCTTCTCTTCTATTCCTCTCTCGGGATTTTGAGCATGCATACACACATGCCTGGTGTGAGTTTAAGCTATTGGGTCTGGGACTTGAACCACAGTCAGCTATGTGGGAGTCCAGCAACTTAACCATTATGCAATCTGTTGACCCCCTGGTGCGAGTTTTAAGCTACTGGGTCTAGGACTTGAACTGTGGTCAACCACAGGGGAGTCCAGCCACATAACCACTATGTCATCTGCTGGTCCCTTGGTCATGAACTTAAATGCACCAATAGATAACTTATACAACCCTCTGAAATGATTATTACTTATACAACCCTCCGAAATTATTGCATGTGTGTGTGTGTGTGTGTGTGTGTGTATATGTATTTATCTCATATATACAAAGATGGAGTGGGGAAATAACTCCATCTATATGTATATGTGTGTGTGTATGTATGTATATATGCATACCTCATATATATATACACATACACACATACATATATACACACATATATATACACACACACATACATATATGTATATACACACACACTTACACATACATATATTAAGAGCAATGAATATGTTTCATTAATTTTGAAACTCTTGATTCAAAATTGTATGATGCTAGGAGACAATTTCTAGAATGGTGGCCTAAGGATCTACTGAAATAACCCGACTGGTAAAAATTAGAAAAGAAATCTAACAATTTAAAATCTCTAGAACTTGTTCCAAGTCATACAGCATAGGGGAAAAAAAAAAAAAAAAAACTACTAAATCTTTGTAGGGATAGGAGAGTCTGTGGCATTTGGGCTATTAACTGCTCTTCATTTCCCCACTCCATCTTGATAAAATGCAAGCTCTACTCTGCACAGTTGCAGCCAAGAACACAGAACTCCCTTCCCCATAAGCTCTCGGTCAAGGGTTATTGTGTCTATGACAGGGGCAGGACCCCGGTTCAGTGCTGCAGACACTCTGCTCAAGGCGAGAACAGTGAGAAGTCCTGGACACTCTTCCCCACATAACTGATATTCCAGATATGGCTGGCAGAGAAGACTGGGACCACAAATGCCCTCCCCTTTAGCTCAGAAGCCAGAGGTTCTACACCAAAAGAGGCAAACTGAAAAGATTGGAGGCTACTATCCCAAGCCAGTGCCTTGTGATGCAGGGGAGTCACTCTGAGAGAAGTGGGCCACTGTCTTTTTCCCCTCCTTCAGAACAAAGAGGGGACAGTTTTGACCAGTAGGATATGTAGGCCATAGGAACAGAGAGATTTATAACTCTATGTAAGGGAGTTAATTTATTTGGAACCGAGTATGGGGAACCCAAGCACATGAGTGTTCTGGAAATCAAGAGAAGTAAAAAATTATGGCAAGTAATTAAAAGAAAGATGGTAATTTCATAAGGGTAATGAGCTACATGGTAAATAAGCTAGAAGTTTATCATAAAGATCAGGGAAAATGACTGCTGAAAAGAGCCCTCCTGTGGTCAGAGCAAATCTCAAGAGTGTCCTCAAAGATTTAGATCAGACTAGGTAGGGAGCAATTTATATCCAAGGGCATTGTCAAAAACAAACATGAACAAGCAATTAATGGAGGTTAAAAGCTGGATGCGATGTCAAGGGAGGCAGGCAGCTTAACAGAATGAGTGGGAAAGAGAAGGTCGAAGGGAGCCTGTCTAAATCTACTACCATCCCAGGTGAGTGTGCACACGCTCAAGGCTGCACCTGCGACGTGAGAAGCCGCACACTACAGGAGAATAGGCTTTATTAAATGCTTCAGCTAAGTCATTAAACGAGTAAGGAAGCCAACACAATAACAAGCTTACGTGTGCATGTGTGTGTATCCACTATTACTACAATAACATATCTAAAATAACCAGTTTTCAACAAAAATACACAGGATTTGGAAAGAAAAAGGAAAACATGACTTACATGCTAGAAAAAAGCAGGCAATAGGAACTGCCTTTGTGAACATCCATTTGCATACTAAGTGCATACATATGCTTGAGAAAAATCCTAAGAGGATGGATAAATGGAGAAAAAGTGGTTGTGGTGGAACTACACTTTGATGAGGGAGTCTTTTCTCTCTCTCTCTCTCTCTCTCTCTCTCTCTCTCATGACTGTGTGTGCCCTCTGGCAATTACAAGCATTTTTAAAAATAATAAAAAAGAACCAAAAGTTTTATAGGTACATTAAAGGAATTAAAAGTCATGCCATAAAATATTCATTTAATGTGAAAGAAAGCAATAAATGAGGAAAATAGAATAAACATGGCAAGAATTACATAGAGAACAAAAAACAAAATGCCAGGCCAGCAGGAGTGGCACAGGCTACATTTTCTGACCACAATGAAATAACATTTTCTTGTCTCTAGCTTGTTTTATTTTAAGAATACAGTGTTAGTTGACTATTTATGTTAAGCAAGATGGCCCTGCCCAATAGTAGACTATTGGTAATTAAGTTTTTCAGGAATCAAAAGATTTGTGTGGATTTTTGACCATGCAAGGGATTGGTATCCCTAATCCCTGCCTTATTCAAAGGTCAATTGTACTTTTCTAAAGATTTATGTCTTAATCTGTTTTGTGCTACTATAACAGAATATCTGAGGCTGAGTAATTTATAATGAAAAGAAGTTTATATCTCATGGTTCTGGAGGCTGGGAA